TAATTTATCCAAAACAAATCTATGTTCTACAATTAGTCTTTTGAATTTTTTAATGGGAATTTTCGCAAACCTAAAATTCTGACATATACTACTAAGTGCTAGTAGCACGACGAATAAAACATCAGCTGTTGGAGCCAGAAAAAAACGAGCAGCCGCACACAGGTCGGACTGACGACTTACCTGGAGATAGCGTCTCCTTGGAGAGAGACATTAGGGCAACGCGGGCTTGGCTCAGACAGCTCGCGTTCAAAATATACGCGCAGGACATGAAGAGATTCAGTGCCGGCAAACTGATGAGCTCTGAACGCGCCGAGAGGAATCGATCGGAGGCTGATTTTATGAGCATCTAAAAAGCAGAAAGACATTAACAGGAAGGAATACTTGGACTTTTAAAGTTCAACGATGATACCCATGCAAGCATCCAGCAAGTCAAGTTAGGCGAACGAACATTTTCGGAATAATTCATTATCAGGTAAAAGGTAGAGGCAATAAAAGTTTAAGCAAACAAGCAGTAGTAATTGGGGGGGGTAGGTGTTAAGGGATCAAAGGGGTCTTAATTAGGGACCAGAGAGCGGAAAGAAGGGGGGAGGGAGGATAAGGGTTCCGACAGTTACAGCAGATTCACTGTCTCATGAAATTGAACGATTTTTACAAGTATCTCCCTTCTACTCAAATGCAGCCCAAGCTGCGGCCCCAAAAACTTACAGCAATAAAATAATGGTTGTTCTTCACTGATTGCCAAGAAAAATGAAGGCCCACAACAAAATTCACGAATGAATATGCCTAAGATTGATTAAAAATTTCTATAACAAGTTATCTCTTGGAAGACAGCTTTAGTTATATATTTTGGCGTCGGATGTCTGCGTACGTTATTTTTTTTTAGATAAAGTCAATATCAGAAAGGGAAATTTTGGTCCGTTTATTGATTCCCCTAAAAATTATGGACACAACTTCTGTTATAAATGAAAGAGCTAACCCTTCTATCCAAATCGGAACAGTTTTCAATGCATTTGGTTACTTCTAGGCTCAGTTCTAAAATAAAAAATGCAGAGCAGAGTAGCAATAATATCAACGGCGATTTTTGAGAAAACTGTATCGCAATGTCCCGCGACATCTCACTTAACTGTGTGCTATGTTAACTGTCTTCAAATTTACATTGACTGCACAATCGACTTATTTACTATATACCTTCAAAGTCCTCATTCGCATTCCTTGCCTACAACCCTTCATATATACAATATACATTTTCAAATGGGGTTAGGCAAGTAACAGCCCTAAAAGTTAATTTTTAAATTTTATCGTACAAAAATTTATAAATTTGCAAAATAGAATTTTTTAAACTTATTTGGCTCTTCCTTTTCCAAAAATAATGCACTACCTCACAATAATACTAACCTTAATTTCACGGACGCAAAACAAAATTTTCCGCTTTGTGAACAAATATTACTAAAAAGTTCCTGCTCTTCATGAATGTTCTTTTATATTGCAACATGAATAAACAAGAAGTTCGTTTCCGCAACGTTTACTAGCGTAGGAAATCCCTCGGATATCAACAAACGCTGAATTTCGCCCAGTTTCGCCTCTATTTTCTCCCAGTACACTGATCTGAACGGGACTCAATTCTAGTAAGCATCATTTTGCGCCTCCAGTCAACCCAATGAACTAAATAAACAACCTCAAATGTGTGTTTAATCCCCCAATCTCCAACCTTTCATCAGATATGTAATCTACTGTAGTTCCTGTCGGCCTATCGTCCTTGTCTCGCGCTCGGATGGGTGGTGTGAGGACGCAAGATGTCATCGTCTCTTGACGGTGTGGGTGGCCTGGGGATGTCGCCATTTTGCGGCGTGATGGGAAGCGTATGGATGGAAGTTGAGTTGGCCTTCGGCCACGGGAGCCTCTTTCCCCAATTAATGCTGATTGGTTGCTTAAACTGTTGTCAACTCTACCCTCTCTTGCCTAATGATGATGATGAATTAATCGAAAACGTTCGTTCGCCTAACCTGACTTCCTAAACACAATGAAGTTCCAAGAACCACTTCCGAAGGCTGGAGAACACTCGTCGTGCTGCGTCAATTCGGGAGACAA